TCGATCTCCGTCTTTTGGAAGTGTGCATATCGATACTGATGCACGTGCACTGCTCGACCTTCCTCGACCAAAGATATGCGGTGGTCGAACTCTCGGTGTGGCGGCAGTCCCTTGGGCTCGTCGAGAACCTGGTCAAACTCCTCGAGCAAGTCACGCACCTCGCGCTGCCTCTCCTCGACCTCTGGGTCGAACTTTTCAACCACCTCCGCGCCCTTGCCTGTCTGTCGACCACGACAGCGTACAACTGTCCGCCACTTCGCCACACTTTCTCAATATTCTCAAGTCCCACCTCCTTGGTCGATACTTCGTTCGCTTTCAAGGTGACTAGCCCATCACCTGTCTCGAACTTCATCACGCCCTTCCAGTAGTTGGTCGTCACGTCACCGAGCCCTTCGAGCCATTGCACACCAAGCACCACATCCGGCCCTACCAATTGTAAGGCAAACAGGTCTGCCTTTACCGTTACTCCTTAGAATTTGATTGGCACTCCTCGGTACACCTTCGAGCACCGCAGTCGCTCACCATTGGCCACCCGCACCTCGAATGGCTCGACAATGGACGTGGGTAGTTTAAGCTTGTGAGATAGCATCGCATTAATGAAGTTGTGCGACGACTCATTGTCCACGAGCACAGTCACTCGCCGGTCCTTTACCCATGCCGGCAAACGCATCGTCCTCGGGCCCTTAGTGCCTGCCATGGCGTGCACAGAGATTTCGGCCTCATCATCGAGCACCTCGACCTCCACCTCCCGTTCTTCCTCGATCACTGGCTCCTCGTCATCCAAGTCCACGAACTCGATCAGAAAATTTTGCTTACATTTATGACCCGGGGTGAACCTTTTCTCGCACTTAAAGCACAATCCCTTCTCACTCATCCGAGCCATCTCTTCGACCGTCAGTCGCTTGATCTCCGGAACAGGGGGTCGAATGTTGCTCGTTGGTTTTATCCCTGTATTGAATGTGCTCTAGCTGATCGACACCCGACGCGGTTCCGGGGCGCGGAGATCTGCCCGTCCCCTTCGCGTCGCGGGCAGAGCGACTTCCATCGCCTTTTGTATGGTGTCGGGTTGCTCCAATCGTACCTCCACAGCCAAGTCGTACCTAAGCCCTCCAATAAATGCACCGACCAAAGCACTCTCGGGCCACCCTCGAACGCGGCATGCCAAGCGCTCGAACTCCTTTTGGTAATCACGTAGAGTGCCCGTCTGTCTAATGCGCTAGAGCGCCTCGTCATAGTTGAGGTAACTTGACGCTCCAAGGCGCGGGTTAGCGGCTTATCGGCAGTCGAAACACACGATCCTCATCATTGGTGCTTTCATTGAGAGGTGTTGATCGTGTGTTTTTCTTCTACCCCATTCCCTTTCTTTTTCTTTTCATTTTTTCGTCCCCCTCATCTAAAAAAAAAAATATATATAT